AGGGATTTTATCTAGTCCACAGGGTAATGCAAAAGTTAGAGATCCTGCTTTTCCCACTTTGACATATGACGCAATGGGGGAACTACTCCTCAGATTATGGAAAATCCTCTTCATTTTTAAAACGTTTAAAATCTGTTTTAACTGACACAAAACAATTACACGTTTGTTACAGTGTGACATCTTAGCATGTGTATACAAGGTGCAACAATCAGATTATAAAGTCTACTCAGAGTTTACAGCTCTGTCCATGCCCACACCTGGGCATGGGGAGGTGGTGGGCCCCTGTCACCTACACCCTTGTGGTGGCTGCAGGAGGTGCAGGGAAGCATTCCCTGCTGCTCTGGAATGACATCAGAGCCAGCAATCTCTGGCTCTACTCACCTCCCTCCCTTCCTCTGCTGCCTGCATCATGCTGAGAGCACCCTGACCTCACCTAGAAACCACCCTCTCCCCAGTGCTGGTGCTTCGCTCCCTTGGCTTCTCACTGTGTCCTCTACACACTGATCTCACTACACATCTTTTCTCGTTGCCCTCACAGGCTGTGATAAACATCATCAAGCCTCCAGTGAGTGACCCTAAAGGATTCTTGCAGCAGCACATCCAGAGAGACTTGGAGCAGTTGACAAAGACGCTGGGGAAGAGTGCTGACGAGACCACCCATGTGGTCCACCTCATGCTGCGCTGCCTTCTCAAAGAGCAGCACCCACTCCCTGACCAGGGTAAACAAGGGACGTGGGCTGGGCATAACTGGCAGGAGGCCAGGCTCCCTCAGCTTCTGGTCAATGGTGTGACAGGAGTGGGAGTGGGAGCGAGCACTCTGCTCTTCTAGTGAGGGCTTAAGGGGCTGCTGTGCTCCTCCACACACCACCCTCCTGGCTGGGGCCTGCAGCACAGATACATGGTGCTTATGGATGCAGCATTAACCTGTGCCCTGAGAGCACATGGCACCCCAGCAGGTGACATGTGTCCCACTTCTGCTTTCCAGAGATATCACACTTGTACCCTGACCTAATATGTGCATGCCCACTATTTGTTACATGAACAAAGGAAGCTTCAAAACACTGTCTGCCGAGCTAACTCTTCTACTCTATAAACATTTAAATCCAGGCCAAAAGCAAAGGTCTGTGAGGGGACTCTGTAAGTGGTTATCTGAGTGGCATTAGGAGGGATTTCAGTTTCTTCTCTCTTACTTGCAAAAATCTTTTAAAATGACCATTGCAGAACAATGATATTTAAAAGCATACAGATAATAATAATAGCAATAAAAAGTGTCCCCACAACCAGAGAATCTATTCTTCTTCAGGTGTGTCTTTGCCAGAATCCAGCATTAGCATGTACTTACCATCTTAACAAGATCTGATTTTCTTCTGCCAACTGCCTATTGTTCTGGTGTGGCTTCCACAGCCATGGACTCAGGAGTCCTAACCTGCTTCCAGTTCCCTGGGACCACCTCTGCCTAAAGGCCTCGGGGCAGCAGTGAGGTGGCTCTGATTAGCTGTCAGCATCACTGTGCCCCTGGGCTTTTGAGTTCACATTCTGTCCTTAGTCATTTGTCTGGAATGCTTTTAAGACCAGAGCTGTGGGCCAGAGAATTGTCAGAGACTACACTATATTACAAGGTCCAGAGGCTAGTGTTGGTAATACCTGGTTAACTGAGGAAGTTATCACACCAAAAGGAGGACTATCTCTATTAACATTATTCAGTGTTTACTGTATGGAGACCAGCATTTTTTGTTTGTTAGGTAACACAGTTTGGTTTTCTTTGCAGGGCATTTAAATTTTGATGAAGAATTGTCAACCAAAGAACAGAGAAACAATTGGGAAAAACACATCAAAGCTCTTCTTCTCCCTGAATTGGAGGTAAGTCGCTCCCTAGTCCTCTCTCCATTAATCTGTGGAGGACTGTTGGCCCACTGTCCTTAGGAGGGCCATCAGAGGCCTCACCTGGAGAAACTTCTCCTTCTGCTATCCCCAGGTACCCCTATTGCAATGGTCATAAATCAGGCCAACAATTATCAATTCCACAGGGCAGGCGGTAGCTTGCTCTCCACTGCTGTTTACAGCAGAATGTGAAAGTAAGAGACCGTCCAGAAATGCATCGACAATCTGGATTTATGAATGCTCTGCTGAGAACATCACAGAGCTGACTATCCACAGCAGGTCAAGGAAGTCAAGAAGCAAAAGGGTGGTGAAATAAAGGCCCCGAGTCTCACTCTGTTTGGGGAGGCAAGAACACTATGAACAAGGAACCCCCCAATCACAGTGAAAGACAGCAAAAGCAAGCATCCGGGTTGCACGCAGATTCCTAAGGAGCCACTGTGGGTCCATGAGCTGCCTGGTTGTCTGTGACAATGTGTCACTTACAGAATGCTGTATTGTTTCTTTATCCAGCATCTAGATAAGACCCTGCTGACTGTGAGCACACTCATTAGCCAGGATGAGCGCATCAGTTCCAACCCCGTGGCCAAAATCATATATGGTGACCCAGCAAGCTTCTTGCCCCAACTGCGCCAGAAAAGTGTGGTTCATTGCTCAAAGATTTGGAGCTGCAGGAAAAAGATCACAGTCAAATACCTTAAGCACATTGTGGAACAGAAGAACGGCAAGGAGATGGTGCCCGTGCTCTGGCAGTTCCTGCAGAAGGTGTGTCTGCTTCATGGGCTGCCTCCTTTTCCTAGTAGACTTCCCCTGAGGACTAGGAGGCCCCATGCTTGGGTTCAAAGTCATCATTCCTAGGGGCAGAACCCTAACCAATCCCATCAGCACTGTGATTCTGAATGCAAGGCCTGTAGCATGAGTCTCAGGGAGAGTGCAGAGGTCTTAAGACACATCTGCTGAAGTCACAGGTGAAATATGCACATGAGTGCGATTAGTGGTGATCTGTTTCGAACTTGAAGGCCAGGAGGGACCACCATGAGCACTCAGTTGTGATGCCTTGTCTTCATCCCCAGAAGCTGAGCAGGTGGTCACCAGCAAGTCCCTGCTGAACAGTCAAGAATGCACACCAAAACCACACCAGAGCCCTCCCTGTGCCCTGCAGGCAGGAGGCAGTGTGCTGCATGATAGGGCTGCAGAGTGTGGAGTCACACCTGCCAGGCCCAGAAACCATCCCCAGCTTTCACCCACTTGAGCTCTCCTGGGCCACAGTAGAGGTTCTCGCCAGCTCCCTCATGGACCAGTATCACAGCTGGCAGGGAGCAGAATGATTGGGGAACGTCTGGTGCTTACACTAGGAAGGACTTCATGTTAGTGTTGTGATCCCTTATCAAGATATGGTTTCATTTGACCGAGGATGCTGGATCCTGGCCCTTCAGAACAAAACCCAAAATCACATCAGCTACCGCTGCAGTAGGCCTTGGTCTTTTCTTTCAGCAGCCTCACACCCAACAGTGGACCCAAGAGTCAATTTTAAAAATTTTTTTTCCAAATTATTTTTATTAATTCATTAGTTGCACACATTAATGAGAATAGATGTGATATTTCCTTGTATGCATATAGCATGCACTGATCTTGTCTCTATGTGTGGATTGTTCCACTTAACAGAATGTTATCTTGTTCTATCCATTTTTCTGAAAATGACTGGAGTTCATTTTTCTTACAGATGAATCATGTTCTATTACATATATAAACCACATCTTCTTTATCCATTCATCTGCTGATGGCCTTCTAGGCTAATTCCACATTTTAGCTATTGGGAATGGTGCCACATAAACATGGGTGTGCAGTGCCTCTTTGAGATGCTGATTTCCTTTGGAATGGGATAGTTGGATCAAATGGTAGATATTTTTTTTTTCAGTTTGAGGGAACTCCAAACTGTTCTCCATTCTGGGGTACTAATTTACATTGTCACCAGCAGTATATTAGATTTCCTTTTCCTCTTCCTCTTTGCTAGCATTTGTTATTTTATGTTTGGGTTCATCTATTTTTGGGGTGGAGGACTAGTGGCAATTGAACCCAGGGCCTTCTTGGGCTTGCTAAGCAAGCAATGCTCTACTACTGAGCTATTGCCCCCATACCCAGCTCCCCCACTATCTTTTTTTTTTTAAGACAGAGTCTCACTAAGTTGCCCAGATTAGCCGAGAACTTGTGACACTCCTGCCTTAGGCTCCTGAGTAGTTGGGATTACAGGTGTGTGCCACCATGCCTATCTTATTTTTTTAATCAGAGCCATTCTAACTGTGGTGGGATGGTATCTCATTGTAATTTTGATTTGCATTTCCTTAATGGCTACTGATATTGAGCATTTTTAATATATCTGTAAACCATTTGTATTTCTTCTTTTGAGAAGTATCTATTCGGATCATTTACTCATTTTTAAATTGGATTACTTTGATTTTTTTATTATTAAATTTTTTAAGTTATATATTCTGGGTATTTTCCTGCTATCAGGTGAGGAATTGGCAGCTATTTCTTCCATTCTGTAGGTTGTCTCTTTACTCTGTTTTTTTTCTTTGCTGTGCAGAAACTATTTAGTTTGATATAATCCAATTTGTCATTTGCTCTTACTTCCTGTGGGTTTGGGGTCCTATCCTGAAACCCATTGCCTGTGCCAGTGTCCCCAGTGTTTCCCCTCTTTTTCTGCTGGCAGCTGCAGAGGTCAAGTCTTACATCTGGGTCGTTGGTCATCTAGAGTTGATTCTTGTGCAAACTGAGATTCAGAACTCAGCTCAGTCCTTGAGGCAGCTTTTCATTAGAGGATGGCGGGGACTTGATCCAGTTCATCCTACATCCCTCACCACTTGGTAAAAGGATGGGATGACCTCTTTCCCATTTGCAAGCTTCAGGGTATAATCATGTAAAACAATCCACTGACCACATTAAACCACTAAGTCCCTATCCTGCCCCCAAATCTATACTCCCCATGTTGTTTCTCAGTTAAACAGAGGAAGTGTTACTGAGCCATCTTCCCTTTTCCAGGAGGCAGAACTAAGACTGGTGAAATTCCTGCCTGAGATTTTGGCCCTGCAAAGGGATCTAGTGAAACGATTCCAGAATGTTCCAAAAGATGAATACTGTTCCATCAAGAGTTTTATTAGCAGTCACAGTTCAGGTATGACTGCTGCCTGCTCCAAGAAAGATCAGGACCATCCATGTTTGGTGGTTCAAAAGGATCATTCAGGCTGGGACATGAGGGTGGGGCTCAGGTCCTAAGGTAGAGAAAGAGGCAAAGGATGCCAAATCCCAGAGATGGGCCATGAGCCACTGCTGTGGCTGGAAAGCCCTCCCCCTCTCCAGCTTCTCATACAGCCTAAAACTTGAAACTCAGACATGCTGCTGAGTGAGGGAAGGTGCAGGGTCAGGTTCTTGGGAGCATGCCTTGTGGTTTGACCCTGGCCAGCGTGGTGGTGGGGGTTGTTTCCATGGGGTCTTACCAAGTGTTTTGTTCAACAGAGGGACTGAGGCAGCTATTCCACAACAGGATCACCATCTTCCTGTCCACGTGGAATGCACTGAGGCAATCACTGGAGACCAATGGTAAGTGTCCTCCTCCATGTGGCTCTGCCACACCCTGCTGTGTATGTGGCAATGCAACCTGTTGATGACAGTGCTGGGATACATGAACCAACCTCCAAAGTAACCCACAGTCATCCTGAATCTATAAATATAAAATCAGAAAGGAGTTGAGAGCACTGGAAACTTAATGGCCAGGGCCCAGCTCTGTGGAGAAGGATGCCCCTGGCTGCCCTCCTCCTCCCCTGCCTCCAGGCTGTGACCCAAATGCCTGGAGCAACATCCCTCTACCTAGAAATGACCCTGTCTTTTAAAGGTGAAATCAAGTTACCTAAAGACTACTGCAACTCTGACTTGGATCTGGACACAGATTTTGAAGTCATCTTGCCCCGGCGTCGGGGCCTAGGTCTCTGCTCAACTGCATTAGTCAGCTACTTGATTAACCTTCACAATGAAATTATCTACACAGTGGAGAAGTTCTCCAAGGAAAACAGCAGGTACTGCGTAAACCCACCACCCTGCCACCAAGCCAGGCTATAGACTCCAGCCAGCAACACCTCCTATCCCCCAGACCCTCGCTCAGCCTTCCTCAACAAAGCCTCATATTTACACATGGTTTTCACTTGCTCACTCTATGATGGCAGAAGCAGGAACATATTCCCCAAAGCCCTAGGCCCCACACACCTGCTCTGGACACCAAAAATTGTATCTTGTGTCCCTCAGCTATTCCGTGGATGCCTCGGAGGTCACTGACCTGCATGTTGTCAGTTACGAAGTGGAGCAAGACCTGATTCCACTGATTATCTCCAACTGCCAGTATCAAGTGGAGCAAGGTGGGGAGACATTGCAGGAATTTGACCTAGAGAAGATCCAGCGGCAGATTAGCAGCCGCTTCCTCCAGGGCAAGCCCCGGCTGACCCTCAAGGTAGGCTGGGCCCTCTGCCAACGATTTGCTGTAGTTATGAACAGCCCTTGTGAGTTTCAGGGGGAATAGACTAAAGTGACACCCAGGGTCTCGTCTGTGTTATCACCTCCCCACTGTGTTCTGTAGTCCCTATGCCTTCTCTGGGCCAGGAGGTGTCCCCAGCTCTCTTCCATATCACCATCACTGTCTGCACCTGTCCCCCAGGGCAGCCTCAAGTGTCAGTGGACTGGGTTTCCACTACAGTTAATGGCACCAACAAGAAGACCTCACTGCTGCCACCCCTTCAATTGCATATGCAGTCCGTGCCCAGGAACCACCACACAGACCTTCCCCATTCTCTCGTCCTCTAACTGCTATGGCCTTGGCTTCACTTCAGAGCATTCAGCCATCAGTCCAGTTGCCCAGTGCCAGTAGCACCACTTCATCTTAGTTTCCTGCCAGAATGCCCTTATGCAGGGAGCATCAGTGCAGGCACCCCTGGAAATGGGAAGTCAGGAACCCCCACCCCCAGCCAGTCCACAGCATGTGGACAGTATTACAATGGCCTCCACCACACTCCCCAATCTGGCACAGGGGCCCTGTCACCTGACCCTAGCTCAACCTTCCAGGTGTCTCCAGCCCCTTCCTTCCTTGCTGCAACAAACCCTGTGACCTGCCTCCTGACTCCCTGAGCACAGTGGCACTTGTCTCTTACCATGGCTGCACTCATCCTTCCAGGTCCAGCCAGGTGTTATACTCAGATGTATCTATTCCCTCATTGCCTGCAATTAGCCTTTCAGTTGTTATATCCCAAAGCTATTTAAAAAAATTTTTAAAAAATTCATTTGCTTCAATTAGTTATATATGATAGTAGAATGCATTTATGAACTTTGATATATCATATATAGATAAGATATAATTTCTCATTTTTCTGAATGTACTTATAGATGTACTACATCACATTGGTCATGTAGTCATATCTATACATAAAATAATAATGCCTGTTTTGTTCTACTATCCTTTCTATTCCCATATCCCATCCTCTACCCTCCCTTCACTTCCCTCTACCTAATCTCAGATAACTCTGTTCTTCTCTAGTGCCCCAATTATTGTGAATTAGCATCCACATATTACAGAAAACATTCAGCCTTTGGCTCATTTTGCTTAGCATGATATTCTCCAACTCAATCCATTTACTGGCAAATGCCATAATTTTATTCTTCTTTAAGCTGAGTAATATTCCATTGAAAATATACACCATCTATTGATATCAGTTGGTTCCATAGTTTAGCTGTTGTGAATTGAGCTGCTGTAAATGCTAACGCAGCTGTATTACTGTAGTTTGCTGATTTTAAGTCCTTTGGGTATAAACTGAGGAATGAGAGAGCTGGGTCAAATTCCAAGTCTTCTGAGGAATCTCCATACTGCTTTCTATAGTGGTTACACCAATTTGCAGTCCCACCAGCAATGTATGAGTGCACCGTTTTCCCTACATCCTCACCAACATTTACTGTTGCCTGTATTCTTGATGACTGCCATTCATAAGGAGTGAGATTAAAATCTTAGTGTGGTTTTGATTCGCATTTATCTAATTGCCAGATATGTTGCACACTCTTTCATAGATTTGTTAATCAATTGTATTTATTCTTCTGTGAAGTGTCTGTTCAGTTCTGTAGCCCATTTATTGATTGAATTATTTGGTTTCATGGTATTGAATTTTTTGAGTTCTTTATATATCCTAGAAATTAATGCTTTATCAGAGATGCATGTGGTAAAGATTTTCTTCCAATCTGTAGGCTCTCTTCTTTCATTATTGTTTCTTTTGCTGAGAAGAAGCTTTTTAATTTGAATCCATCCCATGTTTTGATTCTTGATTTTACTTCTTGTCTTTAGCGGTCTTGTTAAGGAAGTCAGGTCCTAGGCCAACATGGTGAAGATTTGGGCCTATTTTTTTTCTTCTATTAGTCACAGGGTCTCTGTTATAGCGTCTAAGTGTTTGATCCACTTTCCGTTGATTTTTATGCAGGGTGAGAAATAGAGGCTTGATTTTATTTTGCTGCATATAAATTCCCAGTTTTGCCAGCACCATTTGTTGAATATGTTGTTATCTTTTCTCCAGTGAATATTTTTGGCACCTCTGTCCATATTTATGTGGTTGGTGTCTGTGTCTTTTATTCTGTACCATTGGTCTATATGTCTATTTTGGTACCAATACCATTCTGTTTTTGTTACTATAGTTCTATAGTATAGTTTAAGGGCTTGTATTGTGATGCCTCCTGCTTCACTTTTCTTGCTAAGGAATGCTTTGGCTATTCTAGGTCTCTTATTTTTCCAGATAAATTTCATAATTGCTTTTTTTATTTCTATGAAGAATGTCATTGGGTAGTATGGCATCTTGACAATATTAATTATGTCTATCCATGAGTATGGGAGATATTTCCATCTTCTGAGGTTTTCTTCAATTTGTTTCTTTAGTGTTTTGTAGTTTTCATTATAGAGGTCTTTCACCTCTTTTGTTAGGTTGATTCCCAGGTATTTTATTTTATTTAAGGCTATTGTGAATGGGGTTGTTTTCCTAATTTCTTTTTCAGTGGATTCATTGTTGATGTATAAGAATGTGTTTGATTGATGGGTATTGATTTTATATCCTACTACTTTGCTGAATTCATTTATTAGTTCTAGAAGTTTTCTGGTGGAATTTTCATCCTGACAGTGGCTGCCTTGTGCACGGTCTCTGCTCAGTGTTGCTTGATAGATCACAAATGTGCACATTCCCATTCCTCATCATTCCTGATCTGCCAATGCTCTTCCTCTCTTGTGGTCCTCAGATACATTATTCCACAGGGCAATATCTGCAAAGCCACTGTAGCCAGGCTGGATTTCTTATGTTACTGTGTCCAAAGAGTGAGGGTGGAACAGAGTCATCAGGAGACAACAAAGTTACATGCTTTGCCCGGGTGTATACTGTATGGCTTGGTACTTCCACTGAGTCACTGCTGAAGAATACATCTGTCATCAGATGGAAGTCTCCTCTATGGATTTAATGTCCAAAAACTTTTTTTTTCTTTCTCATCTTAGGGGATACCCACGCTGGTATACAGACATGACTGGAACTTTGAACATCTCTTTGTGGACATCAAGAACAAAATGGCACAGGTGATCATGATAAACTCTCACTTGCAGGATTGTTCCATCCACATACATAAGGACAGTCCAGTCCCATCTTGGTGTCTGCTGTGAGGACTAGGCTCTCTGGCTCCCTAAGTACCCAAGGGGCCCCCTAATAGCCCAGTGCTCTCTGGAGAGACAAGCAAAATGGCAGATCACCAAATTTTCTTGATTTACAGACTAACCCCTTAGGGATTGTTTTCTTAATGAGATATCATGACCATGGTGCTACGGGTCAAGAACTCGCTCACTCATTCCCCTTAGCTTCTGCTACAGACAGGTGGAAAGGCTCTTGTGCCTCTCCATGTCCTCATGGGTCATGTATAGTATTCAGTTAGCTCAGATCCATTTCTGTGCAAAGTCTGAAAGGCTGCGGCACTCAGCATCAGCTCAAGCAAAAGCATCAGCTCTTACCACAAGTACTGGATAGCTGGCCCCGCCTGGGCTGGCAGCTCACAGTTAGGGTCTTACCAAGTAGGAGAAGCAATAGCCTGACCCAAGCCTCTGCTTTTGATTTTAGAGCCCCCTTCCCCACTCAGCAATGAGTGCCATCAGTGGAGAGCTTCAGTCCTACAGCAGTGCCTGTGAAGCCCTCTCTGTCATAGAGGTCACTCTGGGCTTTCTAGGCACAGTTGGTGGGGATCCAAATATGCACCTGAATGTGTATGTCCAAGAAATCCTGCGAATGGACGACCAAACAACTCCAGTTTTAAAGGTAGGTATTGTACACTTTTCAAGGAGAATCAGCATAACCTCATCTTATTTTCCTGCTAGAATGCCACCACGCAGGAGCGTGGTGCAGGCATCTGTGGAAAGGGGTAGTCAGGAACCCCCACCCGTAACCAGTCCACAGAATAGCAGCACACACTGGGGACAGGAGAAGCAAGGACACTCAGTGCTGACCACCTAGTAGAGCAGGATGCACAGGTGACTGAGGACATTGACTACCTCCTCACTGCATGATACTCACAGATATGAGCTGCTGCAGGAGTGGGAAACTCTCAGATGTTTGCAAGATGAGGCAGGTAAACTTGAGGATGGAATAGAGGTGGCCTCATGACAGGAAATGGATGAAGCAGAGAGGAGTGCCCTGGGGTAGTACTCAGAGTCGTTGGGGTATACCAAGGGAGGGTGTAAGTCTTCACCTCCTACTTGGGACTCTCTTCCTCTTCCAGGCCTTAAGCAGATGTCAGTTAAAGCACGTCATTGCCCTATGGCAGTTACTCTCTGCTTTTAAGTCGGAACAGCTACTGCGACTGAAGAAAGTGAGTCTGCCCTGCCTCTGCCCAGACTTAGGGAGCTGCACACTGGTCCCAGGCTTTGATGTTGTACTTGATCATCTTTTTTAGGATCCCTTTCGGGAAATCAGTTCTAGATACAAAGCAGACCTCAGCCCAGAAAGTGCTAAGCTCCTCAGCACCTTCTTGAATCACACAGACCTAGATGCTTTCCTCATGGAGCTACATGAGATGATGGTGTTGAAACTAAAAAACATTCAGACCCAGGACAGCTTCAAACCTGAATGGAGGTACTGTGTGTATACCCGCTGGCAGGCAGGTTTGCAGAATGTTTGCTGTTTCCCATTGACTTGAAGGTAGTTCCATCTTAACACAGGACCCTCTGTCTTCTGTTCTCCATCACCAGAGCAACTGAGGACTTGCTTCTTTAGTTTTAATCTTTTGGAGACATTTTAAAACAACTACAAAATCCTATATTCTCATTATAACAAGTAGACTTAACTATGTCAAAAAGGTATGCATTTTAGATTAGGTAGAAAAAGCTACACCAATGTGTGAAATCTAAAATATCCATAATTATAAGAATTTACATTTGTGTCAATCTAATGGCAAAAAAAAATGGTATCTTGTTTTCATTTGTGTTTCCCTACCTACTTGTGCAGCTGGGCACATTTTTAAGTCTATCACCATTTGTGTATCAATCCTCAAATTATCTTTTGGTCACTTTTGGTTATTGGGTGGGGAAGTTGATCTCTTTCTTTTCTTCTTTTGGTGCCAGGGATTTAACCCATGAGTACTTAACTACTGAGCTGCATCCCCAGCTCTTTTTATTTTTTATTTTGAGATAGATCTCACTATTACTGAGGCTCTCCTCAACTATGCAATCCTCCTGCATCAGCCTCCTGAGTTGTTGGGATTACAGGCATATGCCATCACACCCAATCTGTTTATCTCTTTCTTGATGATTTGTAAAAAGCTCTTCGTATAGAACAGATTAATCTTTGATCAGTATGTAACAAATGCACTAGAAGTCAATTCTGATTTTTTTTTATAAAGCCTTTGTGGGGCCAGGTGCAGTTGTGCATGCCTGTAATCCCAGGAGCTCAGGATGCTGAATCAGGAGGATCATGAGTTCAAAGCCAGCCTCAACAACTTATCAAGGCCCTAAGCAACTCAGCAAGGCCCTATCTATAAAGAAAATATTTAAAAGGGCTAGGGATGTGGCTTAGTGGCTAAGAATCCTTGGTTTTAATCCCTAGTTACCACCACCCCCCCAAAAAAAGCCTCCATGGAGACATACACTAAAGGCCACCTTTATCACATCCTAGGGTACTAAACCATATTGTTTTCTTCTGCTGCTTTTATAGTTCTATGTTGTACATTTGTTTCATTAGTCAGTTCACTTTTATGTGTGATATGAGGCAGGTATTTCACTTGACTGGCTTTCTGGATGGACAGTCAGGCTATATTTGCTATTTCTGCCCTCAGGCCATATGGCACATGCCTGTACAGTAAAGTTCCCCTTCCTAGAGAATTTGCAGCCTTTGGTAAGATAAAACATAAGAGGGAATACCTGGCTTTTCTGAACGCCAAAGCTTTGTTTCTGATGCAGCCAGCCATACATGTCAGTGGAGTGCTTGAAATGGCCTAGCTGAGCATCATTGAAGGAGCTCCACCCTCCAGAAGCCTTGGGCCTGGGACTCCAGTTCCAGCTCAGGAACTGGGCAGCTGGCTGACTTGAGGCTGACCTTCAGTATTTCTTGTCATAGCACCCCAACCCTGTAAAGAGTGAGAACTGATAGGCTCCTGATGTTCTAAACACTCTCTCTTGTGCCTGATTTTACAGCCTGAGGGACACTCTGGTGCCTTACATGGAAACTAAAGAGAGCGAAGTTCTTCCAGAAGTGGAATCCCAGTTTCCAGAAGAGATACTGCTGGCCAGCTGCGTCTCTGTGTGGAAAGTGGCAGCTGCACGGAAACAGGACCGGCAAGCAAAATAGGATTCTGTACTCTGTCTCTTTATGTGCTGCGGACACAGCTCCCCTTCCCTCCACCATGCCTCTGGGGGCACCTGGAAGGAAAGTGTTGGCACAGCACTGAATTCAAGGCCAGCATGCACTGTGCCAGCTGATGGATTTTTTGAGAGCTAGGCTGTTTCTGGAACACATGAAGATCCAGAACTTTCACTTTATATTATGAGTATCAAGTGGTGAGAATGGCAGTTAGTTGAAACTGGAAATCAACCACCATCCTATGCATTCAAGGAGCAACAGAAAGGAAGAGTCACAATAGGGGTTACACCCAGCAATGACCTGTGTTGGACCTGCAGCCTGTTCCTCGTGCTTCCTCATGTTGCTACACAGAGGCCGAATGCAGGGGGTTTGGTGTCTTTTCTTCCCTATGATATTCTGCGCACACAGAAGAGAACCTGATTTTCTTCTCTCTCCCAGTCCCTTAAATTCTGAGTTCTGTACTCATATTTCTTGAGTTCCAAGTTGTGAAAATAATACCACACTCTTTTTGTCTTCTCACTAACATGAGGAAAGCCAGGGGGTCCGCACATGAGACTCCACTGTAAGTCACTGCTAGATTCCAAAGGGTCAGAGCCAACAACTCTGGAGAACATGAGAGTTGGGACGCTGCTTGGGTTTTGGTTTCCCCATGAATAAAATGGAATTGACTGACAGCCAAAGTGCTTTCCAGTTCTCATATCTTGAGATTCTAAATGAAAGTTTGTCATTGTCAGCATGGATCAGAGGCAGGCTCTTAGAGATGGCATGGGGAGTTTTTGGCTTTGCACTGCATAAGCATGAAGTCTTGGTGTGATCTCAGCTTCCCTGAGTATATGCATTCCTGGTCCTTTCTTTGGGTCTCAACCACACCAGAAAAACTAAGCCTCAGAGCGAGTACAAAACCAGTTCTGTTTCTGAAAAAGGAAAAATTACTCTCCTCGATCTTGTGCTGCATTTTTCATTAAGTTTTGTCTCTGTTTGAAACCCACTTTGATGTCCTGGACCACTGCATAAATTCCTGTACCTCACAGCTCAGAACTCGTTTGCAGTGAGATCCAGCCATCCACACCTAGGAGGCCCTGACTTTCAAGTATATTCCAGATAAGTTAGGGACCCAATCAACTTGATATCAGGCCTGTGTACTTTTGAGCTACAGAAATGCAGAATGGGGAAGGAGGGCACAGCTCAGTAGTAGAGTGCTTGCCTCACATTCACAAGGTCAGAGGTTCAACCCACAACACCACAAAAAAAGAAAAAAGAAAAAAAAAGTTACCTGGCACAGGCCCTGTGCACACCTGCAAAGGTAGGTGCAGAAGGAAGTGATTCCATTTCCATGGATGACTTCTCACAGCAGACCACCACAAAGAAAGTGCAGTGACAGATCTCAGGTAGCAACTCCTTTCATAACACACACTTCCATTTAGAGAGCTGTGATGAACATTCCAGACTATGCAAGCCACTCCTATTCCTACCAGTTGCCTGCCACCTGCAAGCAGGAGGGCTCAGCCTACCTGCCTGGGAGGTGGGGGGCAGTTTTCCGGGGCCAGCAGGTGACACTCAAGACTCATACCATTCTTCATTGCCACACCTTCACAAGTGGAATCAGGTTTCAAGTCCTTGATGTGAAGACCCTTTTTCTCCCTTTGGCCTGGACATTTTTTTTTATCACTGGTATGAATTGTCTTTAATTAAGATGTTTTATTTTGTATGCTATGCTTTCAAAGCCTTAACTGTCATATCTAGCATGATTTATGCAAAAATACCCTGGGCTAGCACAGGTAAAACTAAATTTCATTATAATGTAATGCTGTTTTAATAAACTTGAGTTCTGCTGCTAAAGGATCCCTCTCTTTGGGAGCCATGCTACTATGTATGGCATGTAGACCTCAGCTAGGCTGTGGGAGTGGTTTTGAGTTTTTGTGGAAATGCCCTTGCATAAGTATTCATGAAGTGGATGGTTTATAAATGAAGAGCACACTCTAGAATGTGAGATGCTAAACTTCACTGGACAGAATAACAGCAGAACAGCTTGTCCACAGTAGAAAAAGCTTAAGTCTGGCCTGGGGCAGGGGTGTCTTCTGTTTAAAGGGACATCACTGAAACAGCAGAGCTCCAGCTACCAAGGAGTAAGAATAAAAACTACCTAACTCAGTAAGTCAGTCTGTGGGATGGAGAAGACTTTCTTTCAAGGCAGTGAAAGAAATAGAACTTCAAGTCATTGCCCTCAAGCCCTTTCCATCCTTAACACTTAGGAGATTTTGCCACCTGTTAAGAGAGACAGCCATGGGCTATTTCTGCTGTTCTTAGATGTTAAGGCAATTTTGACTTAAAAACAAACTTCCACTGATGATCACTGTGAGCAAAACACCAGTTCAAAGGGCCCAGCCAAACTTACCCAAATTCTGGCATGCCTGCTTGCCCCAGTGTGCACATGGAAAGCATCTCTGATGTGATGCCAGAAGCACCAAGTGAGGCTGCCATTCAAAGTACACGCAGAGTGCTCCATGGGATATAAGCCCTGAGGCCTGGAGCTGGGCACCAGTGGTTCAAGCAGCAATTGGCACTCACATTGTGTTCTTCAATGTTCTGACCCCTTCAAGTTCACTAAGCATATGCTCAAGCATTCAGAATCCTGGGATTTCCAGTTGGAAAAACAAGCACGAGTGCTTTCTCCTAAGAGAAAATGCTAGCAAAACTTAGACCTTCCCTGTAGGGGCATTGAGCCTGCTTCCTTCTCAGCTGGTGGAGTGCTTCAGAGAGCCAACTGGGGAGGGCCCTGAGATGCAGCATCCCCCCCCCACTGCTCTTGAGGCTGCTTCTGCTCAGGGGCTCCACAGTCTACAGTGTGCTCCTTTCCCTTCACATGGCCCCACCAAGGTCAGTATTCTTCCCGATCACTACCTGTACCCGAGACACCATGGGACCTCATCCCAGAAAACTGCTACTTCCTCAGAACCCTAGCTCTAACACAATCAAGCTGACACACCACAGCCCAGAAAGATCTGAACATGGGTCTTGGCTCTCCAGTTTGCCATCTCAGTGACCTTGGAAAAGCCGCTAAAAGCTAAAAGAACCTCCATTTTCTCATGTGCTAATGACTCTCAGTTCTATGGTGAGAAATTAGAGTAGGTAAACAGCAGCGCAGTGCCCAGCGTGGGGTGGGTGCTCAAGAAATGGGACATGCCCTTACCCTCAGCTGTAATCTTGCCCTGCTTTCAAGGCCCTGTCAGTTGTTGGTACTGCAGGAAGTCTTTCCCAAATCTGAAACCAATAAGACCAATCCAATGCATTGTTCTGTATCATCTTTTGTTAAATCTATACCCAGACTGTAATAATGGTCCCTTTACCTTCTGAATATAGCCCTCATTATTCTAAGGCTTATTAAAAAAAATTTCTCTCTCTCTTCTCCCCTCTCCCCCTTCCTAACAAGATTAGGGAAACAATGTTATCTTTTCTTTCCCTAGTTAATTGTCCTTGAACACACCCACCACAGGAAGGAGATGCCTGCTGAAATCTGGGAAGTGAATATCTCCCAAATTAACAAGTGAATCCTAACAGGCCATGGGGCACCCTAGGATCACCTACCAGAGCACACTTGGAATGTAACCCTTGAAAAGTTCCCTTAAAACACCCCTGTCCCTCCTGATCAAGAAAGTCACAGCCTTTGGGACAGGAGTCCTCTGTGTTTCTCCTTTGCTAGCAAAGCAATAAACCTTCTTTTTCCTTTTTCTCAAAACCATTTCCTCATTATTAAATTGGCATTGATTGTCATTGGGGACAGTGACTAAGCTTTCAGTTATAACACTATATGACTTCTGCATATACTTTTTTGAGTTCTCATTCATGAGCCTCTTTTCTACCTCAGGACCTTTATGCCCTCTGTTCCCTCTGCCTGACATGCTCTCTCAAACTCACTCTTCAGGTCTCCTCTAAATATCACCTCCTCTGGAGGCCTTTTCCCAATCATCACATCAAAGCCAGCTCCCGGGGGGATTATTTTCAGTCAGCCCTAGTTACAGCTGCACTATCTATACACCCCTCTCTCTACCCCTGGTGAAGCAATGCGAGAAAGCTGCAACCCCAGATCCTAGCACAGCACCAGGCACCAAGAGCACCCAGTAAATTTCCATTAATTTGAGGAGCACGGGATAAGGGACAGTGCCAGTGCCTCTGCCTCCCTGGTGGTGCTCAACTTCATAGAGCTCCAGGTACCCCGGGGGGACAGGCAAGGCCTGAAGACTGGGAGCAAAGTTGGAGAATTTTCTTTCTTTCCTTTTCTCCTTCTTTGAAGTGCTGGGATCTGAACCCAGGACCTGCACATCCATTGCCCAGAAAGCGCTCTACTACTAAGCCACACCCCAGCCTGCCTCTTCTAGAATTTCATTCATAGGTGAGAAGTGTTTAAAGGGGGAAACATAAAAATGTAAAGACTGTTATGCTCGAATTCAGGACCCCCAAAAGACCACCAGAGACCCAAGATCTATGTAAGCAGCAAAGAGGTGTTTATTGCAAGCTAGCTCTGTCCTCCGCGCACACACAGCAACTGGTGACGCTGAGAGGCCCCAAGCCCAGGGTTTGCAGCAGTTTTATACATTCTTTGGAGAAAGCAGGAACCCCCACATACATCATAGCATCTCTTAAAAAATCATCACACACCGCAGGAAAATCAAATAACAACTCTAAAACATAATTAGCACATTCACTGGCGGGAACAAGTTGGGTAGGGGTGATTGGTTACTACAAGAGGGGGATTCCTTTGAACTGATTGGTTTAAGCCAAGAGGGGTGTACGAGCTGAACTACATGGTTTCCCAACACGTTATCAACCACCATAAACTACTGGGAGGGTCATCTGACATCCCAGGTATTTCCCTGTCTCATGCTGATTGCTGGCTGCTATGGGGCTGCTATGGATCCCCACCTAGCCTGACTGAGTCAGGGACACCTGGTGCTGTAGATCTCTCCTGTTATTTGTAGATAAACAATTCAGCAGGGTAGGTATGTGCCTAGAAGTGCTCTGTGGGTTTTTCTAAAGACAAGGGTCATGCCCCCTTCCTTGGACACAGGCTTTGCTCTGAGGTAGAGGCTGGTTTCTCAAAAATGGAGTCACATCAGTTTCTCATCACCATAAGTCCTCTTAACAGAACTTTTAGTGTCCTTGTGACCTCAAGGTAAATCAAGTTTACACTTATTGACAGTGGCTTGAAGGCCCTGTGTGATCTGTTATCTGCTTGGTATGACCCTATAGGCTGGACTCCCACCACTACTATTCTTCCCACACCCCTCTCCACACCCATATCCAGTTCATATCAGCTTTGACTCCCTCACACATCATGTTGTGCCTGGCCAGCTCCCACTTCTCTCTTAGGACCCAGTTTAGACTTGCTTCTTCTTCTTCTTTTCCTGCTCACATTTTTATTAAACATCATGGGTCACCAGGACACATTACCCACAGATAGTGGGGTTGGATATTTTTAAAACCGATTTGTGGCACATGATACAATATAAGAACTGTATTATCTTATTTAGTTTGACATTGAAAAAAGCAAATTGTTATTGAATCATAGTCAATAAAACGAGTTTTTTTTAAATGGGAGATTAATGACTGAAAGACTTCACGAAAATGCTAGAAAATAATTAAGGTATAGTGAATATAATGAGAACTCCAAAATACCTATTTTTTTTTATCTATTATCCTCTCTCCTTCTATTGTTAAAATACTAAGCATCACTTTGTTATACTTTGCTATTACAAATACACTTTTCTATAGTGAAGCCCAAATTATATTTTCTCACTTTATTTGAAAATACTACTGTGTTGATGTTGCTTTCCACAGTATGGAAATTATGTTTTCACATGGCATGTGTCAGTCCACTCAGACCCATTTTTGCTAGTCTCTCTTGTCATTCAGTACACCAGCTGTTCATCTTGTCCACGTAATTGCATCTGCTGCACTAAACATGGTGTAGTCCCCAAAGACTTGACCCTGTATAGCAATCTTATGAAGTTTATATGTGTATATATAAGAAGTTTTATCAAAGGAAAATAATATCCTTAAATCTCAGTTCTAAAATATTCCTCAGAGACGTGTTTTTGCAAGTTTTAAAATGGGTCACTTTGATTTATTCATATAACAATGTCTATAAGCTACTACTTCCATTGAACACAAACATTATCTTGGAGGCATATTCATTATTAAAAATATTCTATCTGCACACACTTCATTTTAGGAAAGAATAGAATAATGTGAAAGTATTCCCACCTGTATGAAGTATCCAGCAACATGTTGAGTTGGTGGAGTTTTATTACAATGCAATAAAATTATGTTTTATTGCATTGTATTGAAAGTTTATTGAGTTTTATTACCATGCAATAAAATTATGTTGATTCCAATTTAACCTTTATTCTGTGATTCAAAAATGCTTCAGGGCCTAGTGTTGATTTTTTAATTTTGTGTGGAAATTGCTGTTAATAGAGTGTTCCAGTAACTACTAGGAAACAGGGAGTCTGTCGTATTTTCTTTTTCTTTTCCACTAATTGTGTGTGTGTGTGTGTGTGTGTGTGTTTTGCTTGAGATTGAACCCAGGGCCTCACATATGTTAGGAAAGCTACCTAACTACCACTGAGTTATACCCCTTTGTCAATCATATATACAACCTGGAGACTTATCTTCTATTTTAATTAAATAACTTTTGCTTTTTGACAATGTTTAACTGCTACAAGAGTTATTTTGAAGAAACTCTGGTAAAACATTTTTAATAAAACTTGGGTAAAACTGAAACAATGAAGTACTACTAGATTTCAATAAACTCATGTTTACTAATTCCTGGTCAAGAAATT